AACACAGAATGTACGTGTATCATGTCTATAGTTGTAATAATAGTGTAAATCTGAGGATTTTATTTCATCAATCTGCTTTTCTGGTAGAAATATCTATTCTTCAGCAAAATCAAAATAATAAATGCCTAAAGTACACCACCTATGACATGTTTATTGCACATATTTGAGAAACTGACAGAACTCAAAGATGTCAACAAAAATAATTAAGTGTAGGGGTTCTGATTTTGTTTGTCTGATACATGTAGGTGTCAAAAACCAAGGTGCGATTGGATGCCAAACAGAAAAAAAGACTTGGAATGACCTATTCAATGTTATTATCCTACCTGCTCATGGAATAAAATGACTTTTGATCTATTTGAAAGAGTACTGATCATATTTTTTCAATGACATTCTTATTATTCTATGTCGTATGAAATAGAAATTTGTGAATTTTGCAGTGCTACGTCAGATGGATTTCTTCATTCTGTATGACCAAAATGTATTTTCGGACAAAGTAGAATGCATTTGACATGTTAATAATTAGGGGGATTTTTGACATTGCAATGAAAACAATATGAGATGCATAAAAGGAGGGGACGTATTAGACCATTCTGTAACTTAATAGTTAATTACCTCTTAATGCAGCCGAGATTTCTGAGTGAGAAATAGTATTGGACATTTTTGTCATACAATATATTTTTTTAGAAATCTTTAAGAAAACATAGAATTTATTTGCATGAAAGTAATCAAAAGGGATCATGTTGAGGAATATTTAAATGTGTTTTTTTTTCAATTACATTTTTGTTCAAGTATCTATTGTTGAAATATAAATTCATATTTTAATTTTGTTGAGGAACTTTTTATGGATAATTTCAATATTGGTTTAATTACATGTTTTATTGTGAGGGGAGAGGGGAGGTAACTCTTCAAGTTATTACTCTACATGTACTATTATTTCATTAAAATATTTTCTGTAGTCATTTATTAGCAATTGATTTTTACTTCTGATTTATTTATTCAGTTGTTTTTCCCTAATTTGCTATGCATTTGTTTTGAATAGCCACTTTATTCGTTATTCTTACCTTTACGTCGGGAAACCAAAAGGGGAGGGGGGTAGTTGTGGACCATCTGGTACCTTTATTAGCCCTCAGTGTGACCAAGATTTTTTGAGTGAAGAATAGTATTAGACAGATCTTTCATATCATGATAATAGTCTAGTCAAATTATCAAATTTTCCATCAAAATGTGAACTAATTGCAACAGTTTCAAAACTTAGTTCTAATCAATCTACGATATGATCTGAATATATAACAAAAAGTTTAGAAAAATTTATACATGGGAAAATTGAAAAATTGAGGTCATTATTGGGACGTATTGTGTTCACTCTGATTAAGTGTTAAAAGAACTATGTAAAGTAGAAACTTCTATACTGGTTTAAAAAAAAACATGTAAGTAGGGAAATAAACTTAACTGAATAAACTGAATTGGAAAAATATTAAATATTGGTTACTATATGTGCTGGTTGCCATGGAAACAGTATAAATTGAGAATATCACCTACTTTTGAACAATGAACCTTTACAAACACGAATACAGTCACTTCGTTAGTTTACACACATACTCAAAATGCATTCTTTTGCCATAAATGCTTCAAAGAAATTATTTAGAAGATTTATGTAAATAAGTGGTAACCATGGATATATTATAAATGAATTTGACATGAAAAATTTCGATATTCAGCAATGCTAAGTATAACATGAATATACTCAATCACCAAAAGTTAAGAAACAATAAAAATGATTTAATTCATATGAAAGGTAATATCCGAAAATAATTAGGAGCAGATTTAGAGGGGTCAGGGGACATCCCCCAATAAGAATTTTTTATGAAAAAGTAGCAGAAAATGCCCCCCCCCAAAAAAAAATCTCTCCTGTAACTGAAAGGTTTTCCCCGTATATGAAGAAAATTGTGGGAAGATCTCATAGAACCCCATTCCTCCCCGAAATAGATTTATATGTTTTTATTCTGGATCAGGTAAGTTGTTAATTTTTTTTTTGTCGAAAAATATTCTGAAATGTGAAAAAATAAAAATTCTATTGGACAGATGTTTTTTTAGAATTTAAAAAGTGTCAAATTTGTGTGCATGAAAATGGCCAAATTAGTCAAATTTCAAATGTTCTACATGGATTATTCTCTTAATTTATATATGTTCAGACAATCCATTGTTAAAATAAGTTAATAGTATCAATATTGTTTAAAAATAATTTTTAATATTTAATGCATATTGCACAATAAATTTTTTTATGTGTAATAATTATCTTGTATTATGATTTTTGGAGTGACTGGAAAGGGGAGGTAACTCATTACCCCCTGGTTCCGTAATTTATCCACAATGCCATGTTCATATTTTGACTAAGTGTTCATTACACATCCCTTTACACCTTGTGAAAATTTCAACAAAATCTATTGACAGGTTTTTTTGGGGTCAGGTGTCCTTAGCTACCTTAATTCACTAAGAATTTAAAAGTTTGTAAGAAATAAAAAAAAGTAAATATTATCCATTTAACAATGGAATACTCTCTGTTTGGTAGTGGATATGGCAGTGGTGTTAACAGTGAAAAGATGATCTCTTCCTTTGTATCATCATTTCTTTCCAAAAAAACGGTAAACTTCTATTCATTTTAACGCATCCCAAAGAATAGGGAAGACAAGCAAGTTTCGTCAACTTGTTTGCTTACTATGAAATCGCTAAATTTCGTAGAATGTTTTATTTTCGTCGTTTTTGAGGTATGAAGAAACCAGTTCTCGGCGTTTATAGAATGTTTTTTAAGTTAATGGAATTGAAAGACTTTTGTTTTTATATTTGAGCAAAACTTTGACTGTTTGCCTTCGAAAATCATCTATTTGTCCAAATAGTTTTCAAGCTTATATATTCCCCCAACATCAAAAAAGGTATTCTATAAATATTTGTACCTTTTATTTCAAATTATTCATGAAATGGGTGATGATAGATTAAAAGAAATATTCTCTATCAATTATAATTAGAAACATTGGTAGAAAATGCATAAAATGAAACTGGGGACCTTAAATACAACTTTAATTTTATCCTGGATTTTGATTTTGAAAGATATCAAGAAGAACACAGCATGTGTGACTAGTCGACAGGGGATTCTCATTCATCCATGGCACCTGATCCGAACTCTGATTATTTGGTCGTTCTTGTTTGATCTGCTCCTATTTTGTAATGTTTTATGGACTTTGATATTGAATACTGTTTGTTATCTCCATATGTTTCATATATCTAATGATGATATTAATTTGAAGATGTTGTCAATCAGCAAAATAAACAGAATAAATCAAATATACCAAAACATTTTACAGTTAAATCCGATTATGTCATGATTATGTTTTGTCGGTATTTCTTTTTACTACAATTTGAAATAGATGTGCTTGTCTAGGAAGAAATTTAACTATTGATAAAGCCATTACACGTCAATGTTTATGTGAGTGTTTATAAACATCTTATTCATATACCATACCATAAAACATCACGTGTTTCCTTTATTCACTTTTTTCTAACTTTTGCTACCAGCCTTCATTTCTGTTTCAAAACGTTGCTTAAACTTTATCAAAACCAAGTCACTGCAACATTATATTACAAGTCTAAATAGAAAATCTAATAGTTATGCGTACATAGATTATAACTATATTACATACTTCAATTTCACTTTACTAGGAGTGTACATAACTATATAAACGCAAATAAAACGTATAATCAATAACCAATATTTCACCAACAATTATTTGTACCTTTTCCGTTTCAAATTGAAGAAACTTATGGTTTTAAGATTGAGTTATGTATGAAAATAAAATTGCATGAGTTTACATCCTAATATTCTATTTCTTTATTCCGATATAGGAATATACAATTTTAAATCATCATTTCTTTATCTAGAAAAATTAAATCATACCATCCTACAGATGTAAGATAAACATCTTTGTATAATCATTCTGTTCTAGTAAGCATATAGACGTATTTTTGGAAATTTATAATAAATTATCAAACTTGTTTTTAAGCTTTTATAATTGTTGAATTGTAAGCAATAGCTCTGTTGTCATACTTAAAAAAATAAATAATTTTTCAGCAAAACAATTACTATTCATAATGCCTTTTTCTCTAAATTACGTTGTTAATCTCTAAAGTGAATTTAGAGATATAACTGTGAGCATGTCTATGCCTTAACTGCTGAATTTTGAACCTGAGGATCAAACTACCTTGAGTATAAATTTAATTTTCTGATAAATTCATTGCATCGACTTAAATACTGTTTAATTTATTGATTGTATGTTGTTTTATGTACCTCTCGAGAATTTTTCACTCATATGGAGCACCCCGACAGAAATTCGAGGGTAAATCCAAAGGTAATGTCAAAATTTCGATAAAAAAAAAATCCTACTAGTCGGTGTAAATCAACGAAATTATGCATGATCAAAGTTATATTTATTACAAATTAGTCCTGAAAAAAAGAAATTAGAATAATTAGTACTTTTCAAAATATAAAATTACATACAAAATGCAATTATGGTAGTCGCTGCACCTAAATAACGTCATATGACAGATATGCGCCGTCATGCACTTAACAGCCTTATAAAAAATACCTGAGAATCACGAACACGTTTACATATATTTCTCTTTTTAAAAGAATTATTGGCATCCACTGTACACTCACTCCATACATAATTTAGTCTTCTGTCAAAATTCTCTGAATAGTACCGAAATACAAACTTAAAGTTTCTGATATCGATCTAATCGTGACACGTCTCTCTTTTTTTATATCTATATATATTACTTGGAAAAACTGTCTGGTTTCAAATGCAAACTGTCACTATAATTTTTGTAAGGAAGAAAGTCTATTGATGTGTCATTCCTCTGTATAAAAAGATTAAATTTCTTTAGATTCCACATTCCATTTTAGATTGAAGAAGTACTCTGTGGTTGTCTTCTTAATTAAAAGTTCAGATATGGAGGATGCAGAGACTTTGTCCGAGGAATACTCGAAAGCCCTACTCCCCAACACAATAATACAACTGATAATGGCTGCCCTTGGAGTATTTGGAAATTGCCTGGTTCTTCTGATGTATACTAAATACGTTGAAGACAACAAAGGCTCCCGATATTTCATACCAGTTCTGGCTTTAGTAGATCTGATCGGAACGGCATCTAACGTCACTGGATTTTATGTGAATGACAACATGCGCTACACTTACGGCAGTGAATTTTTGTGTATAATGTTCCATTTTTCAATTGTGCTGACCGGAGGATTTTCGGCTCATCTGACCTTCGCTATATCACTACAGAGATACTTAATGATATGCCGTCCGTTTGGTCAGCAACTGTCAAACCAAATGCGCAGAGTTGTCATCTTGATTATCTTTTTGATTTCCATAGGATATGCAACGCCGGTTATTAAATTTGATAAAATATATACTAGCTCATCAACTGGCAACTTCTCCACCTGTGCGACTAACATGGATACCTACAGACCCAACGGTATTGTGCAATACCTTGGAATTTTATTATTCTTTTCTGTCATTAACATTTTTGTCACGTCCGTTCTTTATATTCCTGTGATAAAAACTATTTATAGAAGACGCTTGCATGTTAGTTGCAATCAGCAAAGTAATGTTCTAGATGGCAACATTAATACTTCATGCAGAGAATTACAAACATTTGGTGTTGGAGAAATTGCAGGTCTGAAAAATTCAGTAGATACAAATGATGAAAACAATAAAACCTCCAAAAAGGACAGAGAGAGTAGAAAGAATATTAGCGTCATGTATCTCGTCATTATTATTGTCTACGTAGTTTCGAATGTGACGTCACTAGTTATACACATCTACTACTTCACAAAAACGGAGGAAATTAAAGGGTACAAGCGGAATATTTACTTTCTTTTTATGCGTTTTCAACTGGTCAATCACATTGCTAATCCATATATTTACTGGTATTATGACCGAATGTTTAGAAAGGAACTTCGAAGGTTTTGCTGCGATAAAATTCTGAAAAAGTGATTTTTTTTCAAGATTAATTCATTGAGTTGCATTTCCGCAATTTACATCAACAGGAACTTAAATACATTTCTTTTGTCAGCGTACTTTTCTGACGTACTTGTCTTAGTTTTCTTAGCATAATACTTCTGTTATAATATTTGTTTTCTTTGTATGTTGTTTTTTTTTAATTCAGTTCAAACATTGGTTTGAAAATAAAAGCATTCAAACTTTATACTTATTGTACAGAAACAATCTTGAAATGTATTTTCATTTTTAAAAAGATGTAGTAAAATGATGATTAAATCATAAAATTTATAATGACGCATGAATACCAGATACATAACAGCATTTAAAATCAAAAGTACACTCAAACGATAAGAATCAGGAGCAGAACAAACACGGACCTCTAAAACATCAGATGTGGGATCAGGAGTGCGCATGTCCTGGCGACCGATCACAACCGCCTTGTGCTCTATGCCTTGATCTTAAAATAACAGTTAATTCAATCGGTACATAGGCAATTTAGCCACATATGATTCACATATGTATTGCCTTTCATATGAGGATCAAATGTGGATCATATGAGAATCATATGTATATACAATCATATGAGAATCATATGTGGCAAACCATATGAGAATCATATGATTACACATATGTAAATCATATGAAGTAATATACATATGATTCTCATTTGAAAGATCCTGCATATGAGAATCATATGAATATTCTGACAATAATCATATGAGAATCATATGAAACTGATCATATGAGAATCATATGAAACAATGTTCACTAATTTGTCCATGTTATACTCAGGTAAAATTCATACGAATGTTTTGACTGTGATCATATGAGGATCATATGAAACGGTGATCATATGAGAATCATATGAAACAGTGTTCACTTATCTGCCTTTGTTATACTGAAGTAAAATTGCAATTTCAATAATATATATCAAAAGATAAATTTAAATGTACATTAATTCAAAAGAATTTTTAGTAATTAATTATATGTAAAGTTCTACTCTCTTTACCCTACCCCCCCCCCCTTTCCTTCTAAAAAAAACCTTTCACAATTTTTTTTCTGTTATAATATATGCATTCCCCAGACAAAATACATAAAGAATAAATTAATTTGCTTTTCATTTTAAATCTTTTGGGTTTGGCTAAGTACAATCAAAATAATTCCGTATTTTTCTCCGGGCCGGTTTTGTCTTTTATCGGATGAAAATATACGTCATTTTTGACGTCACTGCTGCAGCAGACGTGTTGGGTGTTTGGAAAAGGCAAGTGATCTCCTAACAATATTATTTTAAAGACTTTTGATTCATATTGTTTCAATATTATTTCATTATGGTGCGTATGAACTTTCTATATATATAATATTCTTATTACTTCAATACTTGCATGCATTTCGTAAACCTAACGTTCGTGATCTTTAAGTAAGTTTGGATAAAATTTGTTTCTGAATGAATGTAAACATTACATGTTAGGCTAAAGGCATTACTACTTTTTAAAACTTGAATTTGTTTTCGTTTTGTTACATACTGATATGAAAGTGAAAGTAGAAACCTTATATGTCAGTTGGCATTATGTATGTTGAGATCGTTATCAAGTCCGGATTCCTTCTTCAGCTTAATGACAAATGTTTGTTTTTATGGCCTATAGATGCATTCGGCAACTTAATTTCAGTGTCACAGTGCTGTTTTTTTCAGTCCAAAGAGCCCGAAGCTGATAAGACTGTCGATTGATCCTGAAGCTGATTTGACAGACGATTGCATCATCACAATATTGAAGGTAAAAATAAATACTTGCAATAAAAAATCAAAGTATCTGTAATGTCTCTTTATGACAAAATATTTCTTGATAATTTTTTTTTTTGTTCTTTTATAATTCTACATTGTTTGCATGGCTTCATCAAAAATAAATTCAACTCAACTTAAAACTCTAGAAATTTTATTCTACATCATAATTTTAATCCAGTGCACTTAAAATATGCAAAGTATGAATAAATTTTGCTGGCTGTAAAGACTATGAAACTATATAGTATACAATAACTTTTTGGGGAGAGGGGGGATAAATTGGATTTTTGAATTTCAACTAAAAAATTATAACAGTGATGGTATAAATACATGTGCATGTGTGTTGAAAGAACATCAGCTAGCTAATCCATTGAATATGTACATCTATGTATTCATTGACTGACAATTATTTTTCCCCCCAACACTAGTGAATGGTGCACGTGCCTATAGTTTCGGGTTAAATGTTAGATATATTTAAGACTATAGAGAACCTACAAACTTGCACTCTCTCTTTTTAATAGTTTAAGTTTTAATTAAATGTATTCTTAGAAAATATCTACTGTGTGAGACTGTGAGTATTTGTCTTACAGGTTCAATATACAGTCAGCCTCTCATAAGATAAAGAACTAATCCCAAGATCCAAGGCTTGCTTCAAAGTTAAGGTAACTACACACTGTTAAATAAACTTTGTTATAGTCTTCCCAAAAGCTTGGGATATCTTGGAATCACAATGTCTGTTTTCTGCCTGTCTACTTGTCTGTAGTATTTTTTGTCTAAAAATAATATACATGTATTTGTATCAGAATCTTCTTAATTTTTTGACAATCTGAATTAATATATACTGTTTGAACATTCCAAATTTAATTGTCAAAATAACAAAAAATAGTTTTTTATGATTTTATTATGAAGCATATCTTTCAATAGTGTAATTGTTTTGCAAATTACATCATAGGATTCCTCAAAACACCTAGTATAACATATATAATGTTAGTTTTATCTTGTATCATATCTGTGTCAGTGAATTGGGCATACATTTGTTTGCTGATTATACCTAAGTAACTTTTATAACTCATAGAATTTAAGAATTATTTTATTTTTACTTTTGAAATTTTTGTAGAAACCATTCTGTGCCACAAAGAAATTGTTCAGGAGGAGGAGGAGAAGTGGTGGATATTCATTTTTGGTACGGTACAGTTCAAAGAGATTTTCAAAATGGTCATGGAAGATAGATCAAAGGGAGGACAACTGAAAAAATTGAAAGATACAGAAGGAAAAAGAACAAGGAAATATATGGAATAATTATGAAATGGGGAGGATGTACACAATCTTGTCTGAATTAGAGCTGTGAAAATTTCCCATATTCTTATTGTATGCTGGAATAATCAATAACTTGATTTTTCATAAATTTACAATAGAGAATACATGACAAATGTTATTGCTGATATTTCAATTTTGCTTTGGACACTTTCATGTCATGTGGTATTTTTATACATGAACTAATTATGTTATTCATTTGTACATGTACAGTATACATGTTTAACTACTAAATCATTTTGCTGAAATCTTGTAATTTGTACTCATGTTAGAATATGTTAAATACATGTATCGACAAATGCTACTGACTTGTTTGTATATTTTCTTGTTTAGAATGTACACTGTGAAAAATAAGTTATTTCTCTTGATGAAAATAATTTTATCAAAAAAGTTGTGTAAGCATTTTAAGATATTTTAAAATATTTAACCAATGAAGATAGATCATTGTAATGTAATGAATTTTTCATCAAAAGCAGAAATATCTGATTTTTAAATGTGTACAAGAATGTGAAAAACATTGAAAAAGAACACACACGTGTTTCATATGATTTACATATGATGTCCTTTTCATATGATTCTCATATGTAAATGGCTTGAAACACACTTAAATCATTCATATGAAAATCATATGTAGCTATTTTCATATGATTCACATATGTGGATCATATGTAAATCATATGATTTTCTTCATATGATTCACATATGATGCCCTTTTTCTATGATTCTCATATGAAACCAATCATATGAGAATCATATGATACTCATATGAGAATCATATGTGGCTAAGTTGCCTGTGTACTTCGGTGTGTAAATAATAGCCTAACAATTAGTATGAAAAACGCCAGGCAAGGTTTGCTTAATAATTTTTCCAAGGTATGAAAATGACACAAAAGTTGTAATAATTTTTGATCGAGTTTACACTGCAAGTCTTTTTCCATTTTCAATGCTACAAGTTGAAAATAATATAGCACACTTAAACAAAAGAAATATTCTTGATAAATTTGTTTTGATCAGAGGCTAGTAAGTAAAACTGAGGCAAACTATTCATTTTGATACTTTTGACTTTATATTCTTTTTAGCCTTCCTAAATTCTCTTTTGTGGTGATTTGAACTATTTGTGTTTGTCTGGTTTTGTTTTGTTTATTTATTTGTTCATTTTTTCTCTTCTACGAGGGGTTATCAAAAAGTTCGTGGACTGAGGCTATAAAATTAGTACTATGTAGTCTGTGCTTTCAAAATTTAAATGGAACATAAAACAACACAAAATATAGAAATGTTGAAAATTTTAGCCTAATACGTTCATTATTTGCTAAATTATTATAAAATGAAAACGACATTATATGACCACCCGGCGCTGTCGTCGTTTATTTTCATGACGTCCGATAGCATCATTGTTTTTTCAATGTCATCTTCTTCTACCTCATACATTTCTTATGAGATTCCCTGGAGCTGATTAAGGACTTAAACCCGCCTTGTTTTTATGCCTTTACAATGTCATTAACAGTGGCCTTCAATGAGTATAATATTCCAGGTGGATTAATACATGTACATTGGGAGAGATCCACACTTGATTGTGCCGGCATGTTTTTGCTTTTGAGAGTTCAGTATCTACAACACATGATCAACGTCATTTTTTGACGTGATTGGTTTTTCACACCTTGACTGCAAATCGAGATTAACTGTGTATCCCTTTACTCTCTGAATCTATTTTGACATTAAAAGACAAGTACTCTGGATGCATATTATTTCTCTGTAGCCAGTTTCAACATATTTTAGGTCTATACTATTTTTTCAGGGGACAAACCTTTATATAATGTTGGAAACGGAAACCCCTCCCCCCTTTTGACGTCATTTTCAAGGCCTCATTTGTTTAGACATTCCGTGTAAAAATTAGGATAAAATT